TTGTTTGTCTGAAAAAGGCTTTATCCTTTATTTATGAAGCTTAGTTTTTGTTGGATACAGAATTCTTGGCTGATAATTATTTTGTTTAAGGAGGCTAAAAATAGGACCCCAGTCCTTTCTGGCTTGCATGGTTTCTGCAGAGAAATCTGCTGTTAATCTGATAGGTTTTCTTTTACAGGATACCTGATGCTTTTGATTCACAGCTCCGAAGATTTTTTTCCTTCGTCTTAACTTGAGATAATCTGATGACTTTGTGTGTAGGTGATTATGTTTTTGGGATGGATTTCTCAGGTGTTCTTTGGGTTTCTTATATTTGGATGTCTAAATCTCTAGCAGGACCAGGGAAGTTTTACTCGATTATTACCTCAAATAAGTGTATAACTTTTAGATTGCTCTTCTTCCTCAAGAACACCAATTACTCTTAGGTTTAGTTGTTGAACATAATCGCATATTTCTTGGAAGCTTTGTTCATTTTTAAAATTCTTTTTTCTTTGTCTTTGTTGTATTGGGTTAATTCAAAGGCTTTGTCTTTGAGCTCTGAAGCTTTTTTTTCTACTTGTTCGATTCTATTTTTGATACTTTTCAATGTGTTGTGCATTTCTCCAAATGTGTCCTTTATTTCCAGAAGTTGTAATTGTCTTTTCTTTGCCATATCTATTTCTCTGGGGGCTTTTTCATCCATATCCTTTATTTAAAAAAATTTTTATTAAATTGGTTTTCACCTTTTTCTGGTGCTTCCTTGCTTAGCTCTATAATCAATCTTCTGAATTATTTTTCTGGCAATTCAGAGATTTCTGCTTAGTTTGGATCCATTGCTGAAGAGCTAGTGTGATCTTTTCTGGGTATTGAAACTTGTTTTTTTCTCATTACCGGAATTACTTTTCTGGTTCCTTCTTATTTGGGTAGACTGTTTCAGTGGGAAGATCTGGAACTCAAGGGCTGCTGTTCAGGTTCTTTGGTTCCACAGGGTAATCATTTGATGTGGTGCTCTCCCCGTTTCTCTAGGGATAGGGCTTCCTGAGAGCCAGACTGCGGTTATTATTGCTTTTCTGGGTCTAGCCACCCAGTGGGGCTACCAGGATCCAGGCTAGTGCTATAGAGTCCTGTGATGTGATCCATCTTCAGGTCTCCCAGCTGTGGATACCAGCACCCTCTCTGGTAGAGGTGGCAGGGGAGTGAAGTGGACTCTGTGGGAGTCCTTGGTTGTAGTTTTGTTTAGTGCACAGATTTTCTTGAATGCTGGTTATGCTCTCAGCGAAGTTGTCACGTGGACAGACTCAGAACCTCTGCTTAGCCAGGGTGTTGCACGTGGTGCCATTAGCCGTTGTTTTCTCTTTCTTTGGAGCAGGGTTGTTCTGTCACGAGTTGAGTTGGTTGCCCTCTAGCCAGAAGTGGCACTTTCAAGAGAGTGCCAGCTGCAATAGTAGAAGGGGGATATAATCTTGCCCTACATTGGCTAGGATGAGTATTCAGGTTTCTTAGCTGATGGGCAGAGTCGTGGAACTCCCAGGGGATTGTGTCTTTTGTCTTTTGATACCAGGGCCAGTAGAGACAAACCATCAGGGGAGTACAGGGTTAGGCACGTCTGAGCTCAGACTCTCCTTGGGCAGGGCTTGCTGCATCCTTATGGGGGAAGGATGGGTGGTTCTCCGGCCCATGGAGTTAACGTTCCCAAGGGGATTATGGCTGCCTGTGCTGCATCATACAGATCACCGGGGAAGTGGGGCAAAGCTGGCAGTGACATGCCTCAGCCCACTCCCATCCAGCCAGCAAGGCCATTCTCACTGTTACCATGCCTCCCTAACTGCATTGAGTTTATGTGCAGGCAGCTGGAGAGAAGGCTGAGGTCTTGACCTTAGCCTAAAAGCTTTCCAGCTGATAAAGCAAGCAGGGCTTTCAGTCTTTACCTGCACCTTTGGCTGTGACTTCTGTGATGTATCTGCACTTACCGTTCACTCCCCTCTACTCCCCTTCCTTGGATTCTGCTCTGGGAAGTTCATGCTCAGTTGAAATTATTACAGAGTTCAGCTAGGAGCTTCCTTTACCCTGTGGCCTCTCCCCATTTCCACTGGCTGCCTTTCCTTTCCCTACGACCTCTTATCAGATAACGCCCGGAATAACTTCCCCGGGGCTTGAGCTGAGGACTGGGAGAGCCCACAGGGCTTCTTCTGCTGCTTCTTCTACTTTCATATTTCACTTGGCTCCCTAAATCCATTTCAGCTCTAGATACGGTTAAATCCTTCTCCCGTGATCTGGATTTTTAGGTTCCTCAGCGAGGATGTGTGTTCAGAGGCCGACTTTTCCCCCTTTCACACTTTGGGAATTCACAGTTTTTCATCTGTCCTGTGGCATTAGCAGCAGGAAGCCACTTCTTTCAACGAGTCTGTGATTTTTTTTGGTTTTCCTGGTATGTTCCTGCACTGGTTCTTGGAGTGAAAGTTCACAATGTGAGTCTCCAGACACTGTTCTGTTCTTTCTAACTGGAAGCTGAGCATTAGTCCTATCTCCTACCCGCCATTCTTTTCTGCTCCCTAACAACTCCTATTTTAAGTTGACCTATCTTTGTTTCATGGAAGAACCCAGAAGATAAACATATTCTTTCTTCTTCTTTTTTTTTTTTTTTTGAGACATTTTTGCTCTTGTTACCCAGGCTGGAGTGCAATGGTGCGATATCGGCTCACCACAGCCTCTGCCTCCTGGGTTCAGGAATTCTCCTGCCTCAGCCTCCTGAGTAGCTGGGATTACAGGCATGCGCCACTATGCCCAGCTAATTTTTTGTACTTTTTAAAATAGAGACGCAGTTTCACCATGTTGACCAGGATGGTCTCGATCTCTTGACCTCGTGATCCACCTGCCTCGGCCTCCCAAAGTGCTGGGATTACAGGCATGAGCCACCATGCCCGGCCCTTCTTCTTCTTCTTTTTTTTTTTTCTTCTGAGACAGAGTATCACTCTATCACTCAGGCTGGAGTGCAATGGCATGATCTTGGCTTACTACAACCTCTGCCTCCCAGGCTCAAGCGATTCTCCTGCCTCAGCCTCCCAAGTAGCTGGGACTACAGGTGCATGCCACCACACATGGGTAATTTGTATTTTTGGTAGAGATGGGGTTTCACTATGTTGGCCAGGCTGATCTCAAACTCCTGACCTTGTGATCTGCCTGCCTTGGCCTCCCAAAGTGCTGGGATTACAGATTTGAGCCGCCTCACCCAGCCTGATAAACATATTTCTTTCAAAAGCTGAGCCCTCCTCCTCACTTTTGCTTTGTCCACTTACTAACTATATTTACTCCACTTACTAAGTACAAAGCTGGTCTTATGCCCTATATCATAGGACTTTTATGTCAATAATTAGGTATTTCTGGTACGTTAGTAAGTAAAACCTTCAATAAGTAAAGTCTGGAGAGTGAGGCGGACCGTTATATCATATTCCTTCCTGTAGAGATGTACTTAGAGTGAAGGCCTGGTGTATGCTTACACGATAGTACAAATGCGTAAGGCTTATGCCAGCCAACTGAAAGCCTTTAGTGAGGGTGTGAGAATCTTTCTATAAGACAGTGAGGCCTAAACATTTGGGAACACACACACACACTCTCTCTCACTTGGTTGTTTTGAAGGAAATAGTGGAAGAGTAAAAATATTTGCCTGAAGGGGGAGAAAAAAGCTTTCCAGAATATTAAGAGTAACACCCATCTGAACTTCACAGAAAGTGTCATGAGTGTCAGTGATTTGAATTCATCAGATATTTCACTGTCCTTTTCAACCAGAAGATCAATTTGAACCAGATTACCACATCCATGGTTTAGTTTTGAAGAGAGAGAGAGAGAGAGAGAGAGAAAGCTAATTATTTGTCTCTTTGTTCAAAGGCCTCTTTGTATTGTATATCCCTGAAAAGCTCATAGGGGAGCCAGCCTTCACATCCATTAAGGTTAGCTCTGAAATTGTTGAATTTGATCTCTTCCATTTGCCATCTGGATACAGTAGAGAAAAAGCTATGCTGCGTTGGGTTGCTGGACACTATCCAGAAAATAACATGTCAGGGCATCAAAGGCTTGAGGCACTTGGTCCAGTCTGTCTAATGATCACAGACAGAGTCTGCTCTCCAGTTTTGTAATATGCTTTATTTTTGCAGTGACAATATATATCCTAGTAAAATAGATCACAGGGTTACTGCCAACTTGTCAAAGCTAGGATTCTTCCATCATAGACTTCAAAAATAAACCCTATTTTAATTGGGCAAAGCTTGATGATTGCCACAATTGAGAAAGCTCCATCTCCCTTTATTCTAGTCTATCCCCTTTCTTATAGAGCACTTACTGCAAGAAGGATTCTAATTCATAGGTTGTTTCATCCCATCCCCAAGTCCCAAATTTAAAATTTCATTAACATTGACATTATTTAAAATTGTATTAATTACCCTCTTTGTATGTGGGCCTAGTATCTGGCCAGTTAATGACCATACTGGCAGCCTTCCAGAAACGCGACATCCACGTCTCATTATTCATACCAACTGGAGCCAATTGAAACTGCGTTTTTAAAAAAATTCTGTTATTTTAAAATGTGGATGGGAAGTAACAGCAGTGGCATGTCTTCTAGTCTCTGAGATTGGGGAGGGGGCTTGCATAATAGGACTTACAATATCAGGGAGCAAATGGCTGCATTTTTAGGTAGCTGGAAGTCATCTAAGCTGTGGTACAACAGACTTTGGTTTAGTTCTTTGCAGGACGTACTTAGGAATTCATTTACAGCTTCTGCAGTAGGTAAAATGGTAGGGAATTGCCACTCTGTTTCTTACACAGGAATGGGATGGCAAGAAGAGTTGCCAGACACTAGCCATGAAAATTACATTTCTCATGGACAAAAATGGTCTTTGGGCTATACTGTGATTACTGGGACAGCTCCCAAGTCTCGCATCCTGACGTAGGAAGCCGAAGAAACCCTTGCTAAGCCGTGGCTGGGGTACTCAAAGGGGTGTTGTTTACAGTAGCATTTGGTTTTGTACCTTGTTCAAGTTATCTGGAGGGGCCAAAGTTATTATTTATTCTGCTCCAAGCTAATACTGTCAGTGCTCCTATCTTCTCATCACTTACGGACTTTACTCAAGAATCTTCTTGTACTTCTTTTCTTCTTTTAGATCCTCATATTGAAAACCAACAAAGTCTCCTCCAAACTGTAGAACAAGCACACCAATGTTAACTCTTAGCAATATTATCCCTGCTGAGCATTGTGCACATACTCATAGCTTCCACCTTCAGACTAGCTTGTCCCGTTCTGTAGGTTGGCGACTTGTGTTTCCTTTAGTGTTTACCTGCTCTCAGATCCCCCTCTGGCTTAAAAATAAGAGGAAAGACTGTGATAATCCAGTGATTGCTAGAGCCAGATTTCCTGGCCACACCATCTCCTACCTAAGTTACTTAAACCCTTCTGTGCCTTAGTCACTTTATCTGTAAAATATAAATAATAGGGCCTATGTTATAGGTCTGTTTTGATAGTTAAGTCAGGAATAAAAAGAAAAGAACATAGTGCAATAGAGTGCTCAGTACTGCATATATTTACTACTGTTTTTTCTTATTCAATATAATTTAGAATAGACAGGTTTGCTTATTTTTACCTCAAGCAGGTATTTAGCATCTTAAGCCTTTTATTAAGTATCATAAATGAGAAGATCTTGAGTTCTGCTCAGAGAATTTCAGAGATTAGCAAGCAGGAGAGATCGGAGCAAGAGAGATCCTTAACATTATATTATTGTCTTGCTATATTTGAAGAAATGGCAGAAGCATAGTGTGTTGGAAGGCGCTAAGAGGCTCAATCCCCTATGTGAAGGTAAACTGCAAAACTGCAGGGTTTGATCTTTTCATTCTGTTTTGTCTTACCAGTATTGAAAGCAGTGCCTGGCTTCTCATGATGGTGACCTCCTCATCTTCAGTCATCTCCTTGATCTCAGCTTAGTCCCTCACAAGCTCCTGTGATTTTTTTTTTTAAAGGACATTTATCTTTTACTTTTGACCTTAAAAAGAAAATTATTGCCAATATCTGTCTAGACCCCTTTCTAGTCTTGAGGAATCTCCTTTCAGAGTGAGCGCCGGGTGGACAGAAACGCTTTCTGCTGGTAAGGAAGCCTAATTGAGGGATATCATTCCTTGCTTTGCCCTCAAGTCAAATGAACAAGGAAAGGCACACGACTTGGGCTCAGGCAATAGGCCTCACCTCCTCGGGCAGCTAAGAGAGGAACGGGCGGAGGATGAGCTTCATCGTTGTGTTCTAGGCCCTAGCAGTATACAGTGGCGGTGGCAGCATCCTGACTGTGTTGTTCTTGCTAGCTAGCCTTTTCTGCTTTAGGTAGGAAAACTCAGTTTGTTGCATACAGTAAAAAATCCTGAATGGCTTCAAATACAGATCTTGTCATCACTAGCAGTAACATAACTTCACAAATATCACCTTTCAGCATTCGAAGTCTCTAAACCCCACCTACTGACCTGTAGACTCACTTAGTCAACAATGTTCCAACCTCATCATATCGCCAGCTGTTGACCTTCTTTCTTATGATCTGTCACCCTACTCCTGTGGCCAGTCATGGTAGTCACTACCTTGCAAATACTCTCAAACTGTTTGCAGTCTCTGCCACTGTGTGTGTGCACCCAGCAAACCCCCGCTTACTCTTCTTCCCACTGTACTCCAGCAGCCAAACAAGACCGCAGAAGAATATCACGTGTTACAGTTGGGTAACTTTAAATTCCAGAATGAAAACTTGAGATGGTCATTTGCTGTTGCCTGGCACCTGTTTTTCTAGCAAGTCGGTTTGCCCCACTCTCCGAGACCCTGTGTTATTTCTGCCTCTGAAACTCTCCTGACTTCCTAATGTTCTCACTTCATCCTTGATTAAGAAAATAGCATTAGGCCGGGTGTGGTGGCTCTCACCTATAATCCCAGCGCTTTGGGAGGCCGAGGCAGGTGAATCACGAGGTCAAGAGATCGAGACCATCCTGGTCAACGAGGTGAAATCCCGTCTCTACTAAAAATACAAAAATTAGCTGAGCATGGTGGTGCATGCCTATAATCCCAGCTACTCGGGAGGCTGAGGCAGGAGAATTGGCTGAACCCAGGAAGCAGAGGTTGCGGTGAGCCGAGATTGCACCATTGCACTCCAGCCTGGGTAACAAGAGTGAAACTTTGTCTCAAAAAAAAAAAAAAATAGCATGAGACATAAGCACCGTATTTTTGTGTTAGCCTATGCCTGCGCTCTCTGTCATTGCAAGACAAATGGAAGAGATGTTCTTGCTCCTGACGTGGTTGCTTTGTCCTTCTGTGTTCTGGATTTACTCTCTGCTGACTTGGATGATTTCACACCTGTTTTTATATTCCCTCTCTTCTCCAGTATCACAAATGTCTCCCTGTCTGCTGGGTAATTTCCATCACCGTAAAAACTGCTCTGATATTTCCCAATTAAAAAACAATTTCTTGGCTCTGTAACTGTCTTTACTATTGCCTTACTTCTCTGCCGCCTGTCATGGTAAATTTTTCTAATAAAGTGGTCAGGGCTGGGTATGTGGTATGTAAGGAGTTTAGACATCTCTGCTTTATCCTAACAATAATTAAAAAGCTGAACAGGCCTGACACAGTGGCTCACATCTGTCATCTCAACACTTTGGGAGGCTGAGGCCTGTGGATCAACTGAGGTCAGATTTCAAGACCAGCCTGACCAACATGGTGAAACCCTGTCTCTATGAAAAATACAAAATTAGCCAGGTATGGTGACTCATGCCTGTAATCCAGCTTCTTAGGAGGCCGAGGTAGGAGAATTGCTTGAACTCGGGAGGTGAAGGTTGTAGCGAGCTGAGATTGTGCCATTGCACTGCAGCCTGGGCAACAAGAATGAAACTCCATCTCAAAAAAAAAATTAAATTAAAAAATTAATTTAAAAAAATTTAAAAAATCAACTTTTCTTAGATCTTTCGAAGAAATGAGGTCACAGGGAAAACTTTTGCCTCCCAAAATTGGAAATACAGATATTTGGATACAGAGAACCGTAATGTATTGATATAAAAACCCATGAGCAGAAACTTCCCCAGGAACCAGTGACTGAGCAGGGAAATCCAGGCTGTAATTGATGAACTGTTGGAAGCTCACAGTGGACAACTCTGATAGTTGAAAATTTGAGGGGGACTCAGTCATGTGGGAAAGGCTACATTTTTCTGAAATTTTCCCTCCAAAGTTTTACCAGGTTTTTACAACAAATATTAGAGAAAAATCCTCTAGTGCTTCCAGCAGGGAGAAGGGGAAAGGAGCCTTTTTGAAATATGCCAGAGCACTTTTATGAACAAGGCCTTAGGGGAAACTATTTTATCAGATACTAACGTACTGAAATTTTGTCATAGTGGAACCTAACTGGAAGAACTCCAGCCTCCTCTGGCCATCCTGTCTCATCTAAGAGGGGAAGAGAGATGAAAAAGTAATCTGAAAAGTGCTTGTGAATTTTACAGTTCAAGGTCACAGAATCACCAAATGACTGAGAGCTAATCTTACGGAACCCTTCTTCTTCCCCTACAACTTGCCACCACACTATTAAAAGCCTGTTCATTACAGTTCCTTTTGCTGGTTAGCTTATGTCCACCTTTGAACAGAGAATTACAAGACATACTAACAGGCAAAAAACACAATTTGAAGAGACTGAACAAGCCTCAGAACTAGAGTCAGATATGGCAGGAATGTGAGAATTATTAGAGCAGGAATTTTTTAAACTATGATTAATATATTAAGAGCTTTAATGGAAAAAGTAGACAACAAGAAAGAACAGGTGATTCAGAGAGATGGAATCTAAGAAAGAATTTAAAAAATGCTAGAGATCAAAAACACTGTATTAGAAGTGAACAATGCCTAATTCATTAGTAGGGGGGACATGGCCGATGAAAGGATCTCTGAGCTTGAGACAATAGAAACTTCCAAAACCGAAAAGCAATGAGAAAGAAAAAAGATAAAAAAGTAAAGAAGATCCAAGAACTATGGGAAAACTATAAGACTTACAAATACACATAATAAAAATACTTGATAGAGAAGAAAAAGAGGAACAGAATCAATATTTTTAGCAAAAATGACTGAGAATTTTCTCCATATTAATGTTAGACACCAAACAGATCCAGGAAACTCAGAGACCACCAAACAAGATAAGTGCAGAAGCAAACAAATAAATAAACAAGTTCACCAAAATGATACCTAGGCATATCATATTCACACTTCAGAAAATTAAAGATTAAAAAAATCCTGAAAGAAGCCAGAGGGAATAAATATCTATAGAGGAACAAAGATAAGAATCACAGCTGACTTCCCTTCAGAATACATGAAAGTAAAAAGAGAATGGAATGAAATATTTAGTGATAAGTGGAAAAAAAATCAATCTAGAATTCTGTAACCTGTTAAATTATTCTTTAAAAGTAAGAAGAAATAAAGACCTTCTTGGACAAATAAAGGTTGAGAGAATTTGTTACCGGGACACCTGCTTTGCAAGAAATATAAAAAGAAGTTCTTTGGAGAAAAGGAGATTGACACAGGTCAGAAATTTGGACTTACATAAAGAAAAGAAAAGCATCAGAGAAAGAATAAGTGAAAGTAAAATGGAAACTTTAATCTTTCTTATTTCTAATTTACCTAATAGATAACAATTTGTTGAAAATATTAGCAACAATGTATTTGATTACATATGCATATGTATATGCTTATTTATACTTTTATATAAGGGAAATAAATGACACCAATGACACAAGGAATAGGAGAAAGGAATTAGGAATATTTTGTTATTACTGGATATTTGGACCCCCTGTGAAGCAGTAGATGTTATTTCAAAGTCACTTGGATTAGTTGTAAATGTATAGTGCAAAATCTAGGGCAAGCAGGAAGAAAAGTAAAAAAAGTATAATATGCTAAGAAAGGAGAGAAAACAGAATCTTATAAAATGCCCAGTTAAAACTACACATGGCAGAAAAGTGTGGAAGACAAAAATAAGAACAAAAATAAGAACAAGTAGAAAACAGTAGCAGATACGATAGATATTAATCTGCCTATATCAATAATCATTTTAAATGTCAGTGGTCTAAATATAGCAATTAAAAGACAGAGATTGTTGAAGTGGATTGAAGAAAACCAACAAGACTCAACTTTTGTTGTCGACCAGAAACC